CCCCAAAACCCCAAAACCCCAAAACCCCAATCTTAGTTTTGTCAAATTTAGCTCAGAAAAGATATTGATTAATCCTAATAACGATAAAATCCTTTACAATAATAAACAAAGGAGTTTCCAAAATTGAGTCTGAGAGTTTTAGATACACCAAAAACTAATTTCAAAGCACAATCTCTAAGTCTATTCCAATTCTAAAACATTGTAGGTCTAAACCGTTAAAAAGCCACATAAACTTACTCTAGGCAGAACTGACCTTAAAGTAGACATCTTTTAGCGTAATTTTTTATTAAGATCTTGGGATAAATATGACTCAGTCCTGCTTATATCTAAGTTTCAAGGAGTGATGTTGCCTATGAAGCTGGGATTCTGAGATGCCCATTCGGTGTTAAGTTTAATAATTCGGATCTATAGGTTAAGATCGTGGTTATTCATGTGCTCGGATCTTGGAAATTCCATTTTTAGGTGGATTTTTGGAAGAATGGATTTGAAAAACTCTATTTTAAATTGGAGAAATTAAGATTTTATTTACGAGCTCAAGTCTTGTCATTTTTATTATCAAAAGATATGGATGAAGATCTGAAATGAATGATAGAATTTTGTGAGATAAATAGTTATGCTCTAACATTTATTCTAACAATTGACATAAATGTCTATTTAAAGTTCTTCTAGTTAGTTTTAAGAATAAAGTTAAAACTCACCGATTAGATCCCCAAGCAAATAGGCTTTCTCTTCTTCTTTTTCATTATACTCTGAACTTTTCAACTTCTTTCTTTGATAGCCCTCTGCAAGATTGTTTACATAAAGTTAGTTTATTGCTCAAAGACTATTTTTCAAAGACTTAAGTAAGATAGCAAATCATACCTTAAATATCGCTGTAGACTTTATGCTTTAGTAAAAATATGACACTTTAGACTCTGAACTCTTCTTTTCTTGCTTCTTTGGTTTTAAACTATGTATTTTCATTTCAAGTTTTTTTTTAAGAAAGATGAGCTAATTATCAGCCTTCCTACAAAAAATCACCACCTTCTGATTTTATACAGAAAGAACAAATTTAAGCCAACAGTTTTATTAGAATTAGGAAATGTATATTTAAGCGTACCTCTGGTCTTAAGCTCTCTAGACTTTTGTATTTATCTTCTTTGAGCTTATCTCTCGCTTTCTTTACAAAGTCATTTGTCTGAGAGCTTAAATCATTGCTAAAGCAACTATTAAGCAAAGAAATATAATCATAGGTGCTGTTATTTTAGTACATTTTTAGGCTTCTTTGAACATAAATGTTTGAATTATAGTTTTTTATGCCCATTATATAATCATTTAAAAGAAATGGAACACTTATTTAAACAATATGTCATAAAGCCCAAATATTTTGTACGGAAAGAAACAAAAGGGGTGATTTGGGAGTGCAGTCTCAACTTCTAAATTACAAATTCAAATTTTTACTCTAAAACGACGCTCTACAGTTATGTAAATGTCAGTTAAGAGCATAGGGAAATGCCAGATTTTATATAACATAATACAGTACAACAAATCTTAGCAACGATTTAAGGCAGGTCTATATATCTTTACGATCAGAAGATTCTGCCAGCTCTAATAAGCAAACCATATTGAACAGATGGCAACTCTAAGGTTTTGAAATTAGTACACAGTTTGTAGCATATTATAGGCCTTATTTTTATTCATAAACTTCAGTTCAAATAACCTTTAACAGAAATTAGTCAATTAATCAGTCTTCTGATAACAATTGAAACATTTTCATTAAAATTCTAACTGAACTGGTGGAAACTCAATGTGTTAGCATCTAAACAAAATTGTATGTTATTGAAGAAGAATTTGTTCAGAAAAAATTAACTCTTCAAAATATGAAAATCAAAAGCCAAAATAATGAACATTGCTCTTCCATTTCAGTCACCATTAAGATTTTTCCTTGTTAGGATTCCTTGCAACTGAATCCTTTGGTTTTCTTGTTGCCTTATTTTATAAATCTTATGAAATATTTTTCTAAATCCAGACATCTAGATGCTCAATAGTGGTGGCTTTGCTTATAGTATCATAATAAACGATGCTGCATTTCTGGTAAACCTCTCTTATACAGCCTTTAGGGAGCTCATGAATCATAAAAGTCTTCAAAATTTTACAATATCTGGCTAACTATTGAGACTCACTCTTCATATTTAATTGTATATATTTAATCTTGGGGTTTTGGGGTTTTGGGGTTTTGGGG